AAAAGTCATTGATTTTTATCCACCCTGCTGAGGAGTTGGGCGGCATAAAAATGCGACTAATAAATAAATAAATAAATAAGTGAAACATCTTCAAGGAAAAACAAAGTCCAGATGCCTTTTGAAAAATCACCTTTGGGACAACCATGACTTGGAGGACTAAGAATCTCCACAGACAAATAACTACTACAGTGAACCAGTCTAGTAGCAATTATATCTGTTATAGTTAAATGTACAAACCCTGCATTATGTCCCATTTATATCCATCAATATATAATTATCGTATTGCTGAGCATAATATTATAGGAGGAGGAACTCAACAGCTAATGGCCAGAATTTTTCCAGGGGGGAAAAAATGCTTTTGATGGAAAACCGATTTGCTGTCTAATACATATACAAGAGCAAATTATTTTAAATGACATCAGTCATCAAATTGCAGGAGTGTCTGAGTTTCCTGTTTTTCTTTTTTAAAAGTAGGCCTGGAGGCCAAAGGAATCCAGACAGAGTGGAAGAATGAGGCCTCCTTGGAATTATCACCTGCCTCAGTCTTTTTGAGGGATGTTTTGGACTCTCAATAGTTTTGTTCTTGATGAGGAACAGACTCAATGATGCTGTTACTGTGCACTCAGATCATCCTTTTGCAGATGAGATACAAGTAGTCCTTAACTTTATAAAATAACAGAGTTGGAAGGGACCTTGTAGGTCATCTAGTCCAACCCCCCACCCAAGCAGGAGACCCTACACCATTTCTGACAGAGATGGCAGTCCATCTTGAAAGCCTCCAGTGATGGAGCTCCCACAACTTCTGAAGGCAACTTCTGTTCCATGGGTTGATTGCTCTCACTGTCAGAAAATTCCTCCTTATTTTCAGGTTGAATCTCTCCTTGATCAGGAGGCTGGACTAGAGGACCTCTGAGGTTCCTTCCGACTCTGTCATTCTATTCTATTTTTTTTTCCTCATACTAAAACTCTCCTTATTCAGTTTCCATCCATTATTCCTTGACTGGCCTTCAGGTACCTTGGAAAACAGCTTGACTCCCTCCTCTCTGTGGCAGCCCCTCAAATATTGGAAGACTGCTATCCTGGTCCTTCTCTTCACTAGACTAGCCAGGCCAGTTCCTGCAACTGTTCATTGTATGTTTTAGCCTCCAGTCCCCTAATCATCCTGGTTGCTCGTCTCTGCACTCTTTCTAGAGTCTCCACATCTTTTTTATAGTGTGGTGACCAAAACTGGACGCAGTATTCCTAAGTGTGGTCTTACTGAGGCTTTATAGAGTGGTATTAGTTACTTACAACCATTTGACTGTTACAACGGATGAGAAAAACGTGGCCTTTTTCATTCCTATGGCCATTGCCGCATCCCCACAGTTAGATGATCAAAATTCAGATGCTTGATAACTGGCTCATATTTATGAAGGTTGCAGGAGATGAAGAAATAGTCAAGAAGATTGTGCAGAAATGGATAGACTGACATTGAAAATGAAACAGAAAGAGGACGTGGAATATTATCAAGCATGGAATTTATTTTACCAATGGTTGGAAAAGAGGGGTGGAGTGAGTTTAAGAATGTAAATTTGTATTGTTAAGCAAATTAAATACCCAGACAACACAATGTTTATTAAGCACTAAAAATGTATTTAATAGAAAATCAATAAAAGAAAATAAAAAAGAAAATGGAGCAAAATTCACTTAGCAAAAAAAGACATTTTGGGCTCAATAGTGGTCGTAAGTCGAGGACTACATATATCATTGGGCCAAAGACACCAATGTCTTCTGATGCTGAGGGCTGAAAGTGTCCTCACTTGCACAGACCTTCCCTTTATGGAACAGAAGCTCAGTAGGCAAACTCATCGCGAATCTGAACATCTGGACCAGGGATGGGTTCTAAAATATTTTAGTACCGGTTCTGTGGGTGTGGCTTATTTTGTGGACGTGGCTTGGTCATGTGACGGTGGGAGTGGCTTGATGGTCATGTGACTGGGTAGGTGTGGCCAACTCAATGTCACTCACGTCAAGGGGTCCCTCACCTGGCCCCTCCCTTCCCAACCATTCCTTGTCACACACAGCCTCAACGTATCTACAGTTCTGTAAAAATGTTGTTCACCTTTTTTCAACTTTATTATCTACATACTATAGATGTACTTTCATGGACCACTGAAAGGAGGAAATGGCTCACATGCTTTGCCCAAGAGTGTGATAGGCAACAGGCTTTTAAGGGGCTGCCAGAAAGAATGTATAGGCAATGTATTTTCCAAAGCACCAGAAGGCAAAACAAGAAGCAATGGATGGAAACTGAATAAAGAGAGAAGTTAATTTTTCTCTTAAAACTAAGGAGAAACTTCCTGACAGTGAGAACCAATATAGGTGCAGAAATATTTCAGTCATAATTTCACATATAAAACAGCCATTCGTGCATATTGTTCAAAACAGTAATTAGTATTATGGCTGAAGTTTGACAGCAAGCCTAAAAGTCAAAGATTACAAGAGTGCTTCTTTCTCTGTATGTATACAAAACATCACATACCAGGAATAACATATTAAGATGGAATTATGCAACCTGATGTACAAAATAAACACACACATATTTATGCTCTGGACTATAGACATTGAATGCATGTAAATCCCTGAAAAATATGTGGTAGCCCTGGGCAAAAGAAAGGCAATAAAATAATTCTAGGTGTAGGGACAGTGTAAAATATTAACACATGATAAATAATGGAACAATTAAAAATAATAGCACAGAGGGGTTTTTTTTTCTCTCTCTCTCTCCTTTCCTTCCTCTTTCTTTCTCTCTCTTTCTCTCTCTTTCTCTGTCTTTTTGGGGGGAGGGTGTTTGTGGCTATGACAGCTACTTTCAAAATTGTTACTGGATATTTCCTGTTACATGAAACCGCTAAAAGGCTTTTGCAGTCATTTAATGCAACAAAATTACTATTTTTTTAATAGTAAAAGTAAACTGACATATGAAGCTACTTCTAAATAACTATGTAAGAGAGGAATAAATCTTTTTCTGAAAATTACTGACGCAAATACACAAAATTAGAGCTGTAATGTGTGGTAATATTATTTATAATAGAATTTTGGTGGAGGAAAGAGAGTAGCAAGGAGATGGACACATTGAGAACTACATGAAAGGAACACGAAAGTTACAAAGTCACGGTATATGACTTGGGTAGCTATATAAATTTGTTTAATAAATACAATGGGAAAGGTCTTTGGGGATTCCAGAATTTACATGGCACTAATTGGATTTTTGATCTCCCTTTTATTTTGAGACATAATAGACTAGTTTTACACTATAACTAAATTACACAAGAGAATGTAGTATATATATCAAAAATAATTCAGTAACAATTTAATCTGATACATTGGGTTAAGTGATGCAGGGCTTGATCTAATTTCAGGCAAGTTCAAGCCTCTGTTAAGAGATACCTGCATTCTCTCTCTCCCCCCCCCTTCCTTTTCTTTTTCTTTCTCTTTCTTTCTTTGTCTCTTTCTTCTCTCTCTCTCTCTCTCTCTCTCTCTCTCTCTCTTTCTTTCTTTCTTTCTTTCTTTCTTTCTTTCTTTCTCCCTTTCTTTGAAGAACCCCAGAAAGTCTTTGGTACGAGGAAGAAAAGCCAGATGTTTTGAAACTCAAAACATGCCCATTGATCATCTGGCATTCTTAGAGCTCCACTATTGATTAGTTTAGCCTGAGCAAGGATAGCTAGCAGCCAATTACAATAAGCTCTCAACTCAAGCTCAGTGCACCTGGGGATCCCCAAACAGTGAGGATGAAATGTGAGTAAAAGGGTTTACCCTTCCCTCCCTCCCACTCTCTCTCTCTCTCTCTCTCTCTCTCTCTCTCTTTTTCTTTCTCCCTCCCTTTCTCCTTTCTCCCTTCCTGTGAAGAATCCCAGAAGGTCTTTGGTAGGAGGAAGAAAAGCTTGTAGCTTAGCCTGAGCAAGGATAGCTAGTGCAGGCACTTACAATAAGCTCTCAACTCAAGGTTAGGGCACCTGGGGATCCCCAAACAGTGAGGAAAAACGTTTTGTAGCTTAGCCTGAGCAAGGATAGCTAGTACAGGACTTACAATAAGCTCTCAACTCAAGGTCAATGCACCTGGGCATCTCCCTAAACAGTGAGGATTTCTTTGTTTCTTTCTCCCTTGAAGCCCCTCCCCCCCTGCAGCCCATTTTTGCTTCCAGGGGGCTGCAGGGAGTCTTGCTAGGCACCCCCCTCATGCCCCATTTTGGCCTTAGCAAGCCTCCCTGCAGCCCCTGGGAGCCAAAATGGGGCCTGCGGGGGAGGGGGACTCCTGTAAGGGGCGGGGAAGGTAAGGTCGTGAGCCTGGTGGGGCTGGCGCAGCATGCTTTGGAGGGGCGGGGTAGCATGATTTACCTATAGGGGTGAAATGCTGCCGATTCAGACCGGATCTCCCAATCTGGTAGCGATGGTGGCCGGTGGTTCGGAGAACCAGTAGCAAAAATCCCTGTGCCCCCCCACCCCCCCCATGCCCAGCTGAGACGCAGGATCATCAGAAGCTTTTTTTTTTTTACTTTTAAAAGCATTTTCTCTACAACCTCTTCTGACAAAAAAAATGCTTTTAAAAGTAAAAAAAAAAGCCTCTGATGATCACGCAGCTCAGCTGAGATCGTCAGAGGCTTTTCAAAGCATTTTTTTTCTGCAACCTCTTGGCCGAAGAGGTGGTAAAAAAAATGCTTTGAAAAGTCTCTGACGATCCCAGCTGAGTTGCCTGATCGGCAGAGGCTTTTCAAAGCATTAGAAAAAATGCTTTGAAAAGTTAAAAAAAAAAAGTCGGCCACACCCACCCAGTCACATTACACCCCCCCCCAAGCCACGCCCACAGAACCGGTAGTAACAAATTTTACATTTCATCCCTGGTCCTCACCTTAGAACTACATTTGAGACCAGAATCTTCATTGCTAAGCAAGGCAGTTATTAAGTGGTTCACATCTGATTTTATGACTTTTTTTTGCCAAGGTTGGTAAGTGACTCATGTTTGTGACTGTGGGGATGGTGAGACAGTCATGAGTGAAGAACCAGCTCGTGATCCTGCTGCGAACTGGTAGTAAAGGTAAGTGGAACCCACCCCTGTGGGAAGGGTATGCATGTTTAAAAAGTTAAGATAGAGATCATAAACATTCAAGCAAAGCCCTGTATCTTTTTTTTTTTTATATTCTTACAAGCGTGATGCGTATTGAAGGATGCTCTCAGTCCTTAAAATGGTTAATCCGAAGCAGCCAACAAATAAGCCCTCCAGCCAACTCCTTGCAATTTTAAAAATAAAAAAATAATAATTTGGAACTTTACTATTATTTATAACTGTATGTTTATCTTCCTTGTGTCAGTATTTCAAATTAACGTTGGGTTTACTTGTAATATTTGGTGAATAAAGGATGATAAACTGATTAAAAACCTTGTTTGAAAACACACCTGGGCTAAGAACTTTGATTAAACAAAGTCATCTTGTTAATTGGCTGCAAAACAGCAAAACAACAGTTCACAGAAATTTTAAATATGCACAGCATGAAAACCCTTAGCCTTAAATGCCTGTGAGAAGACAAACCGTTGACTCGCTTACAGGGAAAAAAAAATATTGCTAGTTATCACCCTCCATGAGTTTCTTACATGAAAATTCAGTTGATTGCACAATAAAGGTTCTACCGGGATTATGTACCGTTTTTTTCGGAGTATAAAATGCACCTTAGTTTTTGGGAAGGAAAATAAGAAAAAAGCTGATTGGTGGGTGGATTGGCGTCCCGGAATACCCCCAATCAGTTGTTTCCAGAGGTGAATTTTAGCAACAGGTTCCTTGGTTGTGAGCTCTGTGCCTTGCTTTTTTTTCTGCCTCTGAAAGCCTCCGAAACAGAGCTTCAGAAAAAAAGGCTTTTTTTCTGAAGCTTCTTTCGGAGGCTTTTTTTCTGAAGCTTTGTTTCAGAGGCTTTTTTCCTGAAGGACTATCTGTACTCTGTTCAATCTCCTTTCTTTGGTATTGGTATGTAGATTAACCTCTTCCGATCTGTTGGTTATTGTGTCATTCTCCAGATTTGTTAACATAGATTGGTTAGAACCTTTACTGATTCTTCTTTCAGAAGCTTCTTTTAGCCTCCGAAGTCTCCATTTGCGAGGCTGGGCAGGACTACATTCAGAGTATAACACGCACCCAGATTTTCATCCCAGGGATGAAAGTAAGCAGGTTCTGAGAGGTTCTGGAGAACCAGTAGTGTAAATTTTGAGTAGGTCAGAGAACCAGCAAATACTACCTCTGAATGGGGATTTCGCAGTATCCTTCCCCTGGAGTGGGGTGGGAATGGAGATTTTGCAGTATCCTTTCCCAGGAGTGGGGTGGGAATGGGGATTTTGCAGTATCCTTCCCCTGGAGTGGGATGGGAATGGAGATTTTGCAGTATCCTTCCCCTGCCACACCCACCAAGCCACACCATGCCCACCAAGCAGGGGTGAAATGTAAAATTTGTTACTACCAGTTCTGTGGGCATGGCTTGGTGGTGGGGGGGTTGTAATGTGACTGGGTGGGAGTGGCCAACTTTTTTTTTTTTTAACTTTTCAAAGCATTTTTTCTAATGCTTTGAAAAGCCTCCGCCGATCAGGCAACTCAGCTGGGATCATCAGAGACTTTTCAAAGCATTTTTTTTACCATCTCTTCAGCCAAGAGGTTGCAGAAAAAAATGCTTTGAAAAGCCTCTGACGATCCCAGTTGAGCCGCGCGATCATCAGAGGCTTTTTTTTTTTTTTACTTTTAAAAGCATTTTTTCGTCGGAAGAGGTTGTAGAAAAAATGCTTTTAAAAGTAGTAAAAAAAAAGCCTCTGATGATCGTGCGGCTCAGCTGGGCATGTGGGGGGGGGGCAGGGATTTTTGCTACTGGTTCTCTGAACCACCCGCCGCCATTGCTACCAGATCGGGCGATCCGGTCCGAACCGGGAGCATTTCACCCCTGCCACCAAGCCATGCCCACAGAACCGGTAGTAAAAAAAATTGATTTCTACCAGTGACCCTTCCTCTTCCTACTTTCCCCACAACAACAATCCTGTGAGGTGGGTTGGGTTGAGAGAGAGGGGACTGGCCCTAAGTCACCCAGCTGGCTTTCATGGTTTAAGGCAGGACTTTTTTTTTTAATTTGATTTATATGCCGCCCTTCTCCGGAGACTCAGGGCGGCTTACAATGAGCTAAGCAATAGCCTTAATTCTTTTTGTATATTTATACAAAGTCAGCTTATTGCCCCCACAAACTGGGTCCTCAATTTACCTACCTTAGAAAGGATGGAAGGCTGAGTCAACCTTGAGCCTTGGCGAGATTCGAACCTGCAGTAATTGCAGGCAGCTGTTCTTAATAACAGGGTGCTTTAGACCACTGTACTACCAAGGCACTTATGGTCTCCTGCATTCTAGTCTGGTGCTTTAACCACTAAATCAAAAGGGTTCAACCAGGGTTCTGTTCTCTTATCTGCTTACATATAAGAGACAGAATCTTGCCAGACTAAACGCTTACTACTCTCACCTTAATGAATATATCCTAGGAAGTGGCTCTTTGAATCTTTCTGTCTCCTAATCATTTCTGGGCTGGTCTGTTTCTTGTCCTCCCGCCCCTCCCTTTCTAGAATATGCTCCCTCCTTTCTGGGAAACTGCCACCTCATTGTTGTCCTTCACACCAGGTCCCCCTCCCTCCCTCCCATAGGCATCATCTCTCATAGAAACAGACGTACCACATTTTGATTAGTTTTTGTGAAACACAAAGTATCTCCCCTGATCTACAATGCTTGGTAATTGCTGCTTGGGATTTACCTTTCTCTTTGATCTCTCTGACTTCCTGGAAATATTCTTCACTTTTTTATGAAGGTGATATAAAACCTACGAAAGAGAAAGAATGAAAGAAAATGTTGCCTTATTTCAGAAAGTAATTGTTTTTTCCCCCAGCCCATTCCTGGAGTTTGCAGGAGAATAATGAATAGAATAGAATTCTTTATTGGCCAAGTGTGATGGGACACACAAGGAATTTGTCTTTGGTGCAGATGCTCTCAGTGTACATAAAAAGAAAAGATACATTCGTCAGGAATCATAAGGTACAGCACTTAAGGATAGTCATAGGGTACAAATAAGCAATCGAATCATATTAGGAAACAGTCAATATAAATCGTAAGGATACCAGCGACAAGGTTACAGTCATGCAGTCATAAGTGGGAGGAGATGGACGATAGGAACGATGAGAAGATTAATAGTAATAATAATGCAGACTTAGTGAATAGTTTGACAGTGTTGAGGGAATTATTCGTTTAGCAGAGTGATGGCGTTCAGGAAAAAACTGTTCTTGTGTCTAGTTGTTCTGGTGTGCAGTGCTCTATAGCATCATTTTGAGGGTAGGAGTTGAAACAATTTACGTCCAAGATGTGAGGGGTCTGTAGATATTTTCGCAGCCCTCGTTTTGACTCGTGCAGTATACAGGTCCTCAGTGGAAGGCAGGTTGGTAGCAACTGTTTTTTCTGCAGTTCTAATTATCCTCTGAAGTCTGTGTCTGTCTTGTTGGGTTGCAGAACCAAACCAGACAGTTATAGAGGTGCAGATGACAGACTCAATAATCTTCCTCCTAATTTGATCAAGCTTCAGATGAGATCACTGTGTAACCCCTTTGCTTTTTAAAAATTTTTTATAGCCTCTCAGATATTTTTAAGAATCTGCACTACATATTAGCTATCTTATATACTACTAAAACTCTCCAGTCTGTTTGTCTGTCTGTAACCTTCAAGTGGGCAAAACGGAACATCGTAGGGCAACCATTTTTAAAATCAAGGTAGCTCAAATGGACTAATATAGGAGAGGAACAGTGGTGAGATTCAGCCGCTTCCCTCCGGATCGCGCGAACCGGTAGTGGCGACTGCAGGAGGCTCTGCCCACCTGCCCGGACATAATGCGCCACCTCTGCGCATGTGCTCAGATTTGCGAACCGGTAGGGAAGGTAAGTGAATCCCACCTCTGGAGAGGAAGTGGCAGAACCTGAGGATGGAGTTTAAAGAGGGATCAACCTAGAATCTCTACATAGCCACAAGTGAACTAACTCCAACCCCACCTTGAATTCTGTTGACCCTTCTCTAGTTCATAGCAGGTTGGTTAAGAATATTCATGTGCATAGGCATAGGTAGCAATAAATTAATTTAATTGGACCTTCACACGTGGAGCTGATCCTTCGTGCCTGATATTGGCTTAAAGAATGTGTCCAAAATCCAAGGCCCAGCGATGAAATCCAATTTTTTTTACTGCCGGTTCTGTGGGCGTGGCTTGGTGGGTGTGGTGTGGCTTGGTGGGCGTGGCAGGGGAAAGATATTGCAAAATGTCCATTTTCTTGGCAAGTTTTTTCGGAAGTGGTTGGCCATCATCCTAGGGCTGAGAGAAAGTGACTGGCCCATGGTCTCCTGATTTCTAGCCTGGTGCCTTATCCACTACAGCAAACTACATAGTATACCAAATGCTTAATTAACTGGAAAAGCTAGTTTTTCGGGGGAAGGGAAGGAAAGGGAAGGGAAGAGAAGAGGGGAGGGGAGGGAAGAGGGAAGGGAAGGGAAGGGAAGAGAGAAGAGAAGAAAAGAGAAGAAAAGAAAAGAGAAGAAAAGAGAAGAAAAGAAGATGGAAGAAAAGAGGGAAGGGAAGGGAAGAGAGAAGAGAAGATGGAAGAGAAGGGAAGAGAAGCTGGAAGGGAAGAGAAGAGAGAAGAGGGGAGGGGAGGGAAGCGGGAAGGGAATAGAAGGGAAGAGAAGATGGAAGAAAAGAGGGAAGGGAAGAAGGAAAGGAGAAGAGAAGAGAAGAGAAGAGAGGAGAGGAGAGGAGAGGAGAGGAGAGGAGAGGAGAAGAGGAGAAGATGGAAGAGAAGAGAAGAGAAGATGGAAGGGAAGGGAAGGGAAGAGAAGAGAAGAGAGAAGAGGGGAAGGAAGAGGGAAGAGAGAAGAGAAGAGAAGCTGGAAGGGAAGGGAAGAGAAGAGAGAAGAGGGGAGGGAAGTGGAAGGAGAAGAGAAGAGAAAAGAAGAGAAGAGAAGAGAAGAGAAGAGAAGAGAAGAGAAGAGAAGAGAAGAGAAGCTGGACAAATACAACCACTAAATCTTGGACCACGTTAGTTCAACATTTTGTGTAAATCCCTCTAACAAGCTGATGGCCCTCACCTTAGATCACTGTTCAGCTTCAGGATGATACATCTGTCAAGAGCCACTAATCTTAATGGAATCATTTTATCTCCTGTTTGAAAGGCATCCTATTTCTCTGACTCAGGGTTGACATAACATTGTGCTAATTAACCTGCATCTGTTTTGTTTATGCAAAGGGGATTCTTTTCCCTACCTCCATTTGCAAAAGAGGCCTCTGTAGTGAAGGCTGCCCTTGGAGGGAAAAAAACAAACAAACCTCTCTATTACTTCAAACTGCTCTAGATCACCTTTCCAAATTGAGTTTGTCAGGGCTCGTTCAAAATCATGGAAGTTTTAAAAAGTACAGGTTTTGGTATGTAAGTGAGAAAAAGACAAGCTACCTTCTCCTCCTCTCCCCACTGCTCCTCAGGGCTGATCTGCTCAACCTTCAACCTGCTGTTTACATTTGAGGAAGCACAGGGAAAATAGATATTAACTGCCTTCGTGCCATTAATACCATTTAGGCCCAAATGATCCGTTGCTGAGAAGCCCGGGCAGCAAAGAGAGATCTTCCCTGGATTTGACTCTTGCAGGTCACAAGAGGGCTACTTAACTATTCTAGAAGATCATCCAAGAAGCAGCTTGGGGTAGTGCTGGATTAGAAGCAGGGGTGAAATGCTCCCGGTTCGGACCAAATCGCCTGATCCGGTAGCGATGGCAGCGAGTGGTTCGGAGAACCGGTAGCAAAAATCCCTGCCCCCCCCACATGCCCAGCTGAGCCGCGCGATCATCAAAGGATTTTTTTTTTTTTTAATTTTAAAAAGGTTTTTTTTTAAAACCTTTTCGGCCGAAAAAAGGCTTTTAAAAGAAAAAAAAAAAAAAAAAAGCCTCTGAAGATCGCGCAGCTCAGCTGGGATCGTCAGAGGCTTTTAAAAGCATTTTTTCTACAACCTCTTCAGCCGAAAATGTTGTAGGGGGAAAAAAATGCTTTTAAAAGCCTCTGACGATCCCAGCTGAGTTGCCTGATCATCAGAGGCTTTTAAAAGCATTTTTTTTCTGCAACCTCTTCAGCCAAAGAGGTTGTAGAAAAAAATGCTTTTAAAAGTTAAAAAAAAAAAAAAGTTGGCCACGCCCACCCAGTCACATTACCCACCCACCCACCAAGCCACGCCTACAGAACCGGTAGTAACAAATTTTACATTTCACCACTGATTAGAAGGTAGGAGGTGATTTTGGGTCAGTGAGTCCTTCTTTCTTGGCCCTAGGCAGAAGAAGACAATAGCCAAACCAGCTTGGTCTAAGGGTCTGTTGGAAGAAATGTCCAATTCCAAGTGGGGAGAAAGACACTGGAAATATGGAGGCCGCTTGGAAAGATGGTTTTTAATGGTGGACAGGACCACGTCAGAGATGGGTTTCAGCAGGTTCTGACCAGTTCTGGAGAACCGGTAGCGGAAATTTTGAGTAGTTCAGAGAACCGGTAAATACCACCTCTGATTGGCCCCGCCCCCATCTATTCTCTGCCTCCAGAGTCCCAGCTGATCGGGAGGAAATGGGGATTTTGCAGTAACCTTCCTCTGGAGTGGGGTGGGAATGGAGATTTTACAGTATCCTTCCCCTGCCACACCCCCCAAGCCATGCCCATCAAGCCACACCCACAGAACCGGTAATAAAATATTTTGAATCTCACCACTGGACCACGTGGTTTGAGGTCCGGGGGTGGGGGAAAGGGAAGAGATGCTGAGAGTGCCCCGGTTTTATGCCCTCCGTTGGGCTTTTGAATTTGAGCTTGTATCCTGATAGGTTGTCAGACTCCCATGGAGCAACTCTGTAGGATGTCCCGAGTCCTAGGCTTGGTTGAGCCTTGCTGGGTGATGATGTAATGAAAGGGCTTTGGGCAATTCCTACTATGGCTCGGCCGGAAGGAGGTAAATCTTTGTTATGTAGAATAGACTGGCCCAGGCCTTAATGGCCCATTGACAAAGGTGGTGGGGACTGAGTTTCTGCCTCCCTTTTAGGGGAAATATTCTGCCCTTTTAATATTTCCTAAAACTTCTCATTTTCCTAGGAGTGGGGTGGGTGCTAACTTCCTACAGGTCAAGGCCTTGGTCGTACAGTGGTCTAAGGCACCCTGTTATTAAGCCGGTTATTAAGACCAGCTACCTGCAATTACTGCAGGTTCGAATCTCGCCAAGGCTCAAGGTTGACTCAGCCTTCCATCCTTTCTAAGGTAGGTAAATTGAGGACCCAGTTTGTGGGGGCAATAAGCTGACTTTATAAATATACAAAAGTATGAAGCCTATTGCTGAGCACATTGTAAGCCGCCCTGAGTCTCCGGAGAAGGGCGGCATATAAATCAAATTAAAAAAAAAAAAAAAAGGCACCAAGCTAGGAACCAGGAGACTACAAATTTATAAATTCCAGTCCTGCCTTGACCATGAAAGTTGGTTAGTTGACTTGGGCCAATCACCAGGGGAAAGCCATAAAAACTTGGTGATTTTGGATCTCTCTCTCCCTCTCCCTCTCCCTCTCCCTCTCCCACCCCCCTCTCTCCAACGGATCTCACAGGGTTGTTGTGGGGGAAATAGGAGGACAAAGGAATATTAGATATGTTCATTGCCTTGAGTTCTTTATAAAAATAACGGTGGTAGGATATAAATTAAATAAACAAACAAACCAGTGAATAAAAATCATCTCCAAAATCTTGCCAAGAGAACTGCGGGGACTTATCAAAGACTCTGGGAG